ACGTTTCTTATTATACACGTGAATATAAGTTATATTTTCAAAAAAGACTATTTATTTCCTCATAAAAAGTCTTTTTTGTGTAAAACTAGAAATAACAGGAAATATAAATTGAATTTTAAACATAAATATAGTTTTCATTCTCAGTCATAATTATTATAAGAAAAGCAATTTATTATAAATATCATTCTCTCTCTCTCTCTCTCTCTCTCTCTCTCTCTCAAACATGAAATTAATACCGAGAAACATAAAACATAATACGGTACTTATTAATTCATTAAATTAAAACACACTTTATACGGTATATTTTTATAATAACTTTCGTTTTCATTATAGTTGAACCTAAAAAATTGTAAATATATTCCTGAAATATAATATACATCCCATTTGTGTCAATCATTCAACATTTGAAGTCTAATAATTAGTTTAATATCTCTAAACTCTAAAATATAAAACAATTCACAAAATGAGTACATATTAAAATCACTTAAGTATTGACAACATCTTTAGGCTAAAATATGAAAATTTAGTAATTATCAAAAATTGATTTAAAAATAATTAACAATTTAACATGGTACAGTAATACTGTAACAGTATCTAATTCTACCCAACTTATCCCTGATATATCCAGTAGTTAACAAAGTTTTAATCACTTTTTTTAAAGTGATACTTGCTTTTTAGCATACTTTTATAATACTGAATGATAAATAAAGATGTAAGCTAAATTCAATTAACTTATTTATAAATTAATTATATAATGCCTATAAATGTGTTTCCAACGAGTAATCAATAGTAAGGAGACATTGAATTACCAGAAGAGTAGTCATTATAACATACTGCAAACATTTTCCACAAAACACCAGAATCTCAACACTGAATGCATTTGAAAAGAGCGCTTCAATGCATATCTCGTGCACAACACGTGACTCCAATTGAGCCCATATTTTACACAACAAACCATTGACTCAATTGTGTCTCACTTACCACTCATTTGTCACATATTTTACACGAAGATCTTATTTATTATCACTGATATCACCACCGATTGCCACCACATCCTCACCAATGGCTACGTTCACTCAAATGCGGGACGAGTTGAAGACCTGTCCCTACAATCCGGAGCATAAAGTGGCCGCTCGTCGTCTTCAGATGCACATTGTCAAGTGCTCGAAGGTATCACCACTGAGACCATCACCCAATTGATCCCATACTGACGCTTATATCCATTGCATGGACCAGAACCCGGCCAACCCAGTGCTGGTCGACTGTCCATTCAATGCACTCCACAAAGTGAAGCCCGAAGAGCTGAGACAACACATCCTTGGGTGCAAAGACAGTCGACAAGTGATCCGTGAGATCGGTAACTGATTCTTGTAATTGAAATGTCCGTCAATTGTGGTGTTTATAAACATTTCTCGCACTCCAGAGGAGACCCGCAACCGACCCGTTGCTCTTAACCGACCGGCCATTACGAGACCTCTGGTGCCGACGTCGACGGATGACTGGGACGCGCAGATCGACAGATCAAAGGCCAAGACATATATAATGCCCGGACTCTCACTCGATGGCGACGACAGCGCCTCCAATGATGACAAGAGTGACGATCAGAAGCCCTACAAAATCAAGTCCAACGTTCAGGTCCAGTGTATGAAACCCGCGGCGCGTAAGAAGTATTACGAGGAATTGCGTGACTCCGCGAAACTCAGACAACTCGAAGAGAAGGACAAAGTGGTTAAGGATGAGCACAGGTATGACACACACCGACCCCTTTATGTGCAACTATACAAATAACTCGCAATCTTGTGTTGTTAACAGTCCGCGCAATACATCGTTAGCTTCTGCGGCCTCCACATCGGGCTCAGTGTTGGCGCTGACGTCGACATTGACATCGACTCCAGTCAAGGATGAGGTGAAGGACGAGGAGACAGACATTCGGCGACCAAATGTGAACCCTTTCCGCCCCAAACTGAGTGGCATCGGCCGCGGCCACAGTCCCGCCATCAGACGAGACGTGGCTTCCGTGGGTCAGCACAATGTGAAGCGCGAGAATGAGAGGGACGACAGCCCTCGTAGTAAACGATTCTCACCCGAAACCATCCCAGGCTTCGACTGATTGGCACTTTTATGCTGTGATTTTCAGTTTCATTTCATTTTAAGACTTCAATATTTACATCAGTTTTATGCCTTTAATCTCAACAAATAGTTTAAATTCATATTTGTCTCAAACTTTCATTTTTATATCTTATTTTGTTTGAATTTGCAATCAATTCTGTCACAGAATATTCAGTTTATTATTACAAGAATTAGAATAATTATTAGATTTTTATTTGTATTTTTTGAGTATATTTTTATTATTTTAAATTCAATTGTAATTACGTACTGTATATCATATTGATAATCATTGTACGGTATATACTGTATTACAGTAATAAAAGCATTAATAAAATCTATTTCAAATCCTAAATTGTTTGACAAGTGATTTGACATAAACTTTTATAACGAACTGTATTTTTATTGTACACTTCATAACAATTTTTATCTTTTAATAAATACAATATTTTAATAATAACTAAATTCTTTAAATAAAAAGTAAAAATGAAAATCATTTGAAAAATATATTCATTAGATATTGAGTGGGGTTTGAGAGCACTTAGGCTTCTAAGTCGTGTACGAAAAGCATTTCTCTGCCCCCGAGACCCGCCTCTAATAGCGTGGGCTCTGGCGTGTCGGTGCCGACACTAGTGATGGTGTTGTTGTCACCGAATGTAAAGTCTTCGAGTTGTGGTGAACGGCCGGGCAGGTCACGGGTCGGCAAATTCGTGCGGATAATGAAATTAAGCGGAGAGTCGTTATTGCAAAACACAAAGTAATATAAATATCTAATGGATTCAGTCTTAAGGAACCGTCGCTCCAGACGCGTCCCATTCGGCAGTTTAATCACAATATGTGTTGCATTCGTGTCGTTGGGTTGCGGTTCAGTGGGTATCTCGCGGACCAACTCCTCCCTCAGCTGAAGGAGCCGTTCCTTGCGTTGGTTTGCCTCCAACTCGACCCGTTTCTTGGCCTCCTCTTCGGCGTCCTGTCGGGCCTTCTCCTCCAGTTTCTTGCGCTCCTTCTGTCGGTCCACTTCCAGAGAGTCCCTGAAAGCCCGGTCCTGTTCCTGTCGGAGCAACTGATTCATACTGCGCTCCTCCCTCTCGAGTCGCACGGTGTCCAGAGCCGAGCGGTTCACTTCGATAGAGGCTCTAAGTTGGGCTATGAGTGGTTCCAAGTGAGCGGTTCCCTCCAACTTGCGCACCACAACCATCCGGTTCTGTTTGAGGGCAATCAGTGCCAGAAACGGATAACTACTTTCGCGCAGCTGTTGCGACACACTATAGCCCTCGGCGTACGTGACAGACGACGCCCAGAATAGCACGTTGTGTTCAGTAAGACAGTCGATGAACCGCTGGTTTATGAGAACCGATTGACAGAAGGCGTCGGTGTCTTCGTGGGAGTCTGAGTGCAAGTAAACCAATAGGAATCTGAGGTCACGTTTTGCGGCATCGATGGCCTGGTTATAGTTGCCGACGAAGAACTCCGGATGAGTTGTCCCGTATTTGAGTTCAAAATCAGCGCGAAAT